AAACATGGCAAGCACTGCGGATACTATGGATCGACACGTATCAAGGACCACCAGACATTATCACGCATGACGCAGGCACTAACTTGCAAGCACAGAGTTCCGCGCAGAAGCAAAGATCATGGGAGTCACATGCAAGCAAATACCTACGGAGGCGCACTGGTCTATCGGCAAAACTGAGAGGTACCATGCACCTCTACGCCGCGCATGGGACATACTCTATGCAGAACTCACTGACACTATGTCCGACGACGCGATTCTCCAGATGGCTGTGAAGGCTGTCAACGATACTGCTGGCCCCGATGGACTAGTCCCGACGCTACTGGTCTTTGGAGCGTACCCACGAATGACTGCAGAGTCACCGCCATCCCCGTCAATGGTCAAGCGCAGCGAGGCTATTCAAAAGGCGACGAAAGCCCTACGCAAGATCACGGCAGAGCACCAAGTTGCAGACGCCTTGAACACCCGCAATGGACCAGCCACTGCAGACATGCTCGCGCTCCCACTCCAGAGCGAAGTCTTAGTATGGAGAGAGAGTGATGGCTGGAATGGCCCGTACAAGATCGCCAGTACAGATGGCCACAACGTCACTGTTGACATGGTCAATGGTCCAACGACATTCAGATCCACTGTCGTCAAGCCATACTACAGACCGGACCACCTTTGGAGCGACCCCGATGCGCCACACGCGCCGAATGAGCCGCATGAGCCGGTAGCAGTACCACCGGCAGTGCAACCACGCAGGAGAGGCCGCCCTCCAGGGTCAAAGAACAAGCGGAAGGCGCACGCGTACATCACCAAGAAGGAGCAGGACGATCTTGAGCTAGCTATCAAGCTACGTAACGATGGAGTGATCACAACCTCAGGCGCCCCCTTTGAAGCGTCTGATGACCAAGAGATCAGCGACCTCGTAGGTCGTGGAGTCTTTAAATTTGAGCAATACGACGAGAGGCTACACAGCAAGATCCGGATCTTCAAGTCACGCCTAGTACGTGAGGTCAAGGGAAAGACAACCAAGGCCTTATGAAGAAATCCCGCCTAGTTATCCAAGGCTACCAGGACCACGGCAAGGAGACTATTCTGACGCAATCTCCAACCATACAGCGATGTAGCCAGCGCCTGATTATGTCGCTGGCGCCCGAGATGGTACAACGCGGAATGAACATCGAGCTCCGTGACATTACGCAGGCGTATCCCCAGGCGCAGACAGCCCTGAAGAGGACGATACTCGCACATCTTCCTACTGAGCTAGTCCATCGATATCCAGAAGGCACGCTACTCCATGTGATCAAGCCGCTGTATGGAATCGCTGAGGCAGGAGTCCACTGGTGGACAACGTATCACGGACACCATTGCAAGGAACTGGACATGGCAACATCGACGTACGACCCATGCCTATTGATCACGAACAGAGACGACGCAGGCATCTTCGGCATCGTTGGCATGCAGACAGACGACACTCTCATGCTCGGGACACCAGCGTTCTCGTCACGTGAAGAGAAGAAGATCCAGAAGGCAGAGTTCAGGTCAAAGCCAAAAGCAAGGCTGACACCAGAAGTGCAGTTAGACTTCAATGGATGTACACTCACGATGGACGCCAGCAGAGTCTTGACCCTTAGGCAGAAAGGACAAGGAGGAAGGATCAGGCTTGTGGATATCAGGGCACCCGACCGCGCGCAACAGTACACCGAGCAGCGCGCCCGCGGAGCGTACATCGCATCAACATGCCAACCAGAGGCGTCATTTGACCTGTCCGTCGCTGCTCAAGCTCAGCAACCATCAGACGAGGACATCAAGGCACTCAACAAACGCCTGAAATGGCAGATGGAGAATCTCGATCGTGGCCTGCGCTACGTCACTGTCAATCTTATGGAGGCCAAGTTGATGGTCTTTGTGGATGGCTCCTTTGCCAACAACAAGGACCTCAGCTCACAGCTAGGCTTTGTCCTTATGCTCGTCAACGAGTCTATTGACGTCAACACCTTCACAATACAGGGCAACGTGATCCACTACAGCTCTACAAAATGCAAGCGCATCACACGGAGCGTACTGGCCTCAGAGATCTACGGCATGGTCAACGGCTTTGACATAGGCATTGCAGTTGCAACCACGCTGAGGATAGTTACAGAACGACTTAGACTACCTGCAATTCCCTTGGTTATTTGTACAGACTCGTACTCCTTGTACGAGTGCCTAGTAAAGCTTGGGACGACGAAGGAAAAGCGTCTCATGATCGACATCATGGCGCTGCGCCAATCATATGAGCGTCGCGAGATCACGGAGATCCGCTGGATCAATGGTGAAGACAATCCTGCAGACGCCTTCACCAAGGCATCGCCAAACCGCGCTCTTGAACGCTTTATTGACGGCAATAAGCTGACAGTCCGAGTAGAGGGATGGGTGCAGAGGCCGACAAGCTTTGATGGTTGATGCTACACACAGTTACCATCAACACATACTGTCACTACCGATACAAGCAGAGTTACTAGCTACCCAGAAAGAAAAGACTTCCAGTGTCGGATCGTGAGTATCGGTAGAGACGTCGGCTGCTGGACACTTCGGCCCGACTTCGGCCCACCTTGCGCAGAGCTTAGGTATACCTTCGTAGCAGCTGTGTTCATAAATAAATCACCATCACCGAACAGAATGCATTCCTAGTTATCGTTATTTCCTTTCAGCACTAGTGCTATAGACCTTCCAACACCATGTGTATTCTGCCCACGTTAATAGAGCGCGTCAAAGCGCATTGTTGGCGCATGTAGTGAAGTGAAGTGCTGAGTCAGACGTCAAGATGCTAGTGAGATTGGACGATACTCAGTTTCAAATAAATTAACATGAGATGTCTTCATCACGTGTACCCAAAGCTGAGAAAGGCGGTTGTATCAGGTGGAAGTGTGTACTGATAAGAAGACATGCTAATCACGTATACGTGGATGTTGGTGTTGGAAACCATGGGGACAAACACGGCACGTCATTGTCAAGTACCCGTGAAGCATTGAATTGAGGCAGATAGGGCATTGTGGACTATGGAGTATACAATTTAAACAACGAGCTATTCTATATACATTGATTTCAAGATAGTTACATGGAAGATAATCCGACAAAGACGCAATAAAACGCACATTTCATTTATTCCATTTCATTCCTTCCGTGTAGTAACCTTCCCAAAGAAACTAAGATTCATAGTCTATGATGCGTCCAGTGTGAGTCAGTCACACGTCCCACATTCGAGGCTTCCAATGACTCACAGAGTCGCCTCGTAATCAAAATCCGACATCATGTCCTCGAAGATCCGATTCACCGTCAAGATACATGGATGCTGAGACGCAGCATACATTCACATTCAAAAGATCACTCAATGTGGTTCTGCAAGTCACGTGTGACTTGATCTAACCTGAAGCTCGACCTATTATAGTGGAAAGGGGGAAGAGAGAGTCTTTGTGACACATGCTTGATGCGTAGTGTCCGCAATCCTGGCGTGCTTAACTGCGTGTTTGGAATGATACGAGCTGTTGGAATTTGGGCTACAATGAGGCAAAGCGTGCACTGAATGTGTACAAGCAAGGTCTGAATGTTTAAGTCCACTACATCTCGGTGGACAGCGGTTGAGCACAAGAGACAAGTACTGTAGAGAAATCAACCGCTGAGTGCTGAATGGGCACGCTGGAACGTTGTCGCGGCCTCGTAATCGTACTCGTATATCTCTGTTTCATCTGCTGCAAGATGTATTAATATTCTCCTCAATATAACGAAGCAATACGAAGGGAGTGATGGTGATGCTGATAAGCTCCACACATCATGCATGTGGCTGGCAGGATACCTGGAAGCAGGAAAATTCCAGAAGCGTTCTCGTGCCACGATCCGGTGTGACGAACGAGCAACGTCACGG